CACAGCCATGATTCCCAGCTTGGTATTTGGAAGCCAGAACTGGTGCAGCCCATGTGCTGTGGTACTAAAGCAATCCTAATGAACTTGGCTGGTCCCAGCAGCTTCATCCCAACAGTCACAATGGTTATCCTCCCAGCCTGTAAGATTCCTAGAAGACAAAACTGTCTTTCATATTATACTGTGGGTCATCAATTGATCATCCCCAGTTTATTTTGCTGTTTAAGTTGGAAGCTCTTTGAGGCAGCCCTCTTTTGAGTTGCACCCCCTTCTTTGGGAGTGCCCCCTCTGATCGTACCTGTGAGGACCTGAATAATGGCACAATGTGAGGATAAATAGAAATATGATCAATTGGTAGAGCAGAATCTAGAATTATTTGACGCATAAGCCTGTGCAATGTGAGGGATTTACCAGAATTTACAGTTTACCAAAAATTGACATCCTTATGTTTCAAATGTCCAGGCTCAGATAATGATGTGGACATTTCTTCAGCACATAAGGAGTGGTTTTGTGCTTTTAACGTAGGAAGGCTTTTCTTTTGTAACTAGTGATAATAAGAAGAGCATTATAATGCCTGTCTAGCTGGTCTGGCTATGGAGAGCTGAGGCCCTTCTCTTAGCACACTTTTCAGTGTGATAGAAATTATTTAGAGAAATGAATAGTTCTTTGCACTTATATTACTTCAGTTTTCAAACAAGTAAAATATCATTAAAACATGAAACACCCTTTGTCATCTTGATAGAATTGGTCAAGTAAAAGAGAAAAGAGAGAAAACATCAAAATAGAGAGGAAACAATTTCAGATGCTGTCTGAAGAGGCTGAAAGTCAGTATGTGAGTAACAGTCAGTGTTCACCAATTCTTCAGATAATGTTTGAGAAATAGCGAGATACCATTAATGTGCAGTATCGTTTATTACATAAGGAAACAAGAAAAGCCTGAATGGCTGTGGACTCATCGTATATTAACTGTGGCATATAGAAATTTCACAAAAGATGCAGAGATTTTGAGATACGGTAGTACCTGAACCATAAGTTACCTATGAAAACAATGAGGTTTAAGGAAAAAATGAGTATACATAGTAACTATTACATGAGCCTGTTGTAAATCACAAAATCTAATTTTTTTTTTCCAGGAAAATAAAAGCATTTGGGCATACTGAGGGTTGAAAACAGCAGTGAAGAAAAACCGTGAAACTCACATGTGAAGAGTTAGTTGTAGAGTGTTTTTAGGGAGTCAGAGAACAGTTTTGGTAGTGGTCTCAGTAAGTAACAACTGGCTGGCAGTTACAGGCAGGAAGATTGACATTTTTCTTCATCCTTCATCAGGGTAGTATTAGCCACATAAAGGCATCTATGTGTTTACTTTTGTGCAGATATTCAGTTTGCCAGCCTGAAAAAAAAAGCTGCTTTTTGTAATTTTTATTCTGTTCTCTACCTTCTTAAAAAGTAGCAAAGGCAATTCTTGTCGTTTTTTTTTTTTGTTTTGTTTTGTTTGTGAACTCCACCCATGCTGGTTTTTTTTTCTGTCAAAAACTCTACAAAAGAATATGAGGAAAGGCTTAGAAATAGCTCTGTGAGATCGGTTTTCAAAAGGCAGTATCAATTTAGAAGTGCATGTGGAACACCCTTTTTTCCTAACACAGGTGCTGCTGTTCCCTTCACAAAGTAAAGCTGCTGCTAATCCAGCTCCTGGATTCTTTTCTTTACTTTCCCCATCATTGTACCCATGACTTCCTGGTGGAGTTTCAGCAGAAAGGCAATTGATGGAGCAATTAAGTTGTTGCACTTGGTATTTGAGTTTTCGCATGTGTAAAAGCACAGTGTCATCAAAAAGGAGCTTACTTGGAGCTGTGCACAAAGGGAAAAATGTCAGTCTAATAGCAGAGACAGAGTTTACCAGTGACTTTAAGTGCAAGCTCTGCAACTCCAAAGATAGTGATGCAGAACAGAATATGGGATCAACACCTAAGTGCAGCTCAGCACTAATGTGCACTTTAGTGCCTGATAAGCCTTATGGAGTGCAGGTTCCTGCGCTTGGAGAGATACTCTGCCAGCGTGTAACCATCTGAACCTGCAAGTTCTGCGTGTTACATCAAATCATTTGAGTGAGAGAGAGACTCTTGCTGCTTTTCTAGGATTTAATGCCTCTGTTTCCATAACATCTGGAGAAAGAAGCTTGTGCAGCTAGATACACAAATATATTATTTGAAGTGCAGTGTCTATCTGTCCAAGTTCTTCATGGCAAGGAAAAGACTTCAGAATACGTGACGAAGCAGGAACAACAGACTGTTCTTAGCACTAATGGCCCTTCCATTTTTGATGCTACAATGGTGATAAAACTAGACTTCGGGATTAAAGAAGAAGAAATCTGCTTGTAATATTCTAAAATAGAATTTAATTTGGAAGGGTTTTTTTGTTATCACTGAAAATTTTCTCGCAGGGTGAGTAGAAATGGTCGACCATTTGAAATTACCAGGATCATTTGAAACTGACTGGATTTGCTACAGTGAAAAGCAAAGGCACAGATGGCTTGGGCAAAGAGTAATCTGCTATCCATGCAAGTGCAGGTTCAATATTAGCCTCATGTGACTGAGTTTCTTCAGCAGTGAGAAGATAGAAGTATACAGTGAGAACTCACTCAGACGTTCTCTCTCCTTGTCCCTCTGGAGAGCAAGAGGTAGTTTGCACTTCTCCTCAGAGCTCTGTTCGTCAGGCTTTTCCAGGGCTCTTCCACAGTGAAGCAGTGGTGTGGGTTGTGAGTTGCAGGGCAGGCTGTTTGCACTGCCTCTGCTGAATGCCTCACAGTGTGGGGTCCCACCCAGTCAGAGCTTTGGCTGTTGTTCCATCCCTAGTAAAAGTGCAGTCTTTTTTTTCTCTTTTGGTTTCGAGCAGGAATGAAAGAAGTTTGTTACTTTTTTCCACTGCTTACTTCTGAAACACGAATTAATATTAATTTAAATGCTGTAAATCATTGTTTTCTCTGTTGATGACCTTTCACTGGGAGGAGCAGGTGTGCTGACTCCTTTAATCCTTCTGGCAACCATTCTAGCAGCAAGTTTTGATAACTTTTGTCACCTCATCAAGTGCTGTGGAGAAATACTGAATGAGCATAGGGAGTGGCAGTGCAAAAGCACAAAATTACACTGCTCATCAATCATTATTCTCTAGCAACTTCCAGAGTGCAGCAAATTGCTGACTAACAAGGGAAAATTAGCTTGATAAAATCACCATTAGTGTCAGGTCGGAATGATGTAAAGTTTTAAAGACACGTCTGTCCTCTATGTCTTTCCTTCATCCATTACAGTGTCTGTTGGTAGAGATCCCAGTTCAGCAAAGCACATAAGTAAGTGCATGCTTAATTTTACTCAAATCAGTAATTGCAAGGAGATCACTGTGATGCTAGTCACAAGCACGTGTTTATGTGCTTCACTGAGTCAGAGCCATAACATACTTTATTGTTTGTGTGCTCAGAAAGAGAAATATCTCTGTGAGCCACTTTCTTGCTTCAAAAACAGTTTCAGACTCACGAGCTGGACATTAATGACAGTATGTCAAGTTCTAGCACAACAGAGCACAGTAGTTAGCATTGTACTTCAGTTCTTTAATCTTGCTAGTTGAATTCTGTCAATTTGTGCTATCTAGAAGTCTGCCTCTTCAGACCTCTGTATAGCCATCTCAAAGCTCATCTGTTACTATTGGTCTATCTTTGGACCCATAAGTAAGTCCTAAAGCCAGCTCAAGAACCACTTCTTAAAAGTTATAGGTGAAATGCAGATGCGGCTATCATAGTTAACAAAACAGATTGTGTTAACTTATGGAGTTCTCCATAACTCTTTCCAGACTGCATGCCAAGTACTGCTATTTGTTTTAAAAGTGGCTTTTATTTGCCTTATGGCTTCTCAGCATTTGAGGCTTGCTGCTTCATATTTTCTTTTTTTTCTTCATAATGTTGATAACTTTATTTCTAACAATAAGAAAATTTCCTCAACAAGCAAAAAAAAAAACAACCCAAAAATATGAAAAAAATAACAGTAAGAGTATAAAAATGGATGCCAAGATTCTCGTATAGACTACGGTAGCTGTGGATAAGGAGAATGAGGCATTGCGAGACAAATCACCAGCCTAACAAGCATGCCTCGTTTACATTCAAGAGCTGCTCTAGTTCTGTTCTGTTGCTTCCTTTGTTTGATTACACAACAGTAATCTAAGACTTTGTAATTCTGATGCTGTCATCCATTTATTTATTTATTTATTTTCATTTGGTTGTGGAACTGCAGCAATGCAGTGACTTACTGTCATTATACAGTTATTTGCATCAAAAAGCTGAGAAAATGTCCATCTGCTTAGCTTTAGCTCGCTCCAGGGTTGCCAGACATTTCAGTGCTCCACAGCCATGTAGAATTGGAGGCTTGATCTACTATGACATTACATCCATTACCATCTAGTCTGGTTCTTCTGTGGGACACAGCAGAAAATACTTCCTGCCGTTCCCCGTTTCATTTTTACTGTTTGGAATGATTTCTTTTCCTGCTGTTGAAGTGGACTATTTTACTCCTTCGAGAACAGCTGACCCCTGGAACTTCATTGACAAAACATCTTGACTGTTACAAATTCTGAAGTATATCTTACTGGAAATGAATAATGTTATTCTTCATTACAGACCAGAGTAGCAAACTTTTCATTCATAAATTATATATATCCTGTGATAGCCTGAATGCTAATTGATAAGAAGAGATAAATATTAATCCTTGTAAGGTGAAGGAGAAACACTGAAACAGATTCTCAGCAAGTACATATGGATGCAAGTGCTCCAGAGTAGCTTTACACCATCAGAGATGTGAGCAAGACGCTGCCCTTTGATACTGCGCACTTTTGAAATGCAGCGTGCTCTTTTGAGCTACCAGAATTTGAAGGAATGCCTACTGTCCACGGTCGATGTGAAGTCCGTTGCATGCTCTGGTCTTATTTTGTCGTTCAATTTTGACGCTAATTTGTGTTTGCAGGTGTGAAAGCTGTGGTGCTGTCTTCCACTCTGAATGCAAAGTGAAGGCTGTACCGTGTCCCAGGTGTGTGCGTAAAGAATTGCAGAAGAAGCAGAAGTCCTTCTGGAGGCGACTGAATATGGATGAAAATTTTGAAGAGTCTTGCAACATGTTTGAGTTGTCATATCAGAACACATGAGTTCCTCAAGGCAGTGGCGAGCCTGAAGAGAACCTCTTCCCCAGCTGCCAGCTCAAGCAATCTCTCAGCTTAGCTAGGCAGAAATCTTTTTTGCAAAACAATATTTGATCTTCTTCAGCTATGAATAGCAGCTGCCAAAGTAACCGTAAAGCCTTGTCGGCTTTGGATTATCAGTGGCTAAACTGCATTTTGCAACGAAGTTCAGCCGCTAGCTCTCATGCAAAACATGGTTTACTTGAAATGCTTTATGTCTAGCTAATTAAGCACTTATCTTTTTCTTTTCCACCTCTGGAGAAGACCTTTCCTCAAGGCAGAAAGTATTTGCTGCCATTAATGCATTATTTTTGATGTTGTTCATTTAGAATTGACCAATCATCTACTTATTTATGTGTATTATTTACTATTAGCCTTCGCAGAGGTTCTGGTAAAGTGTGTCACAGAATAGGGCAGGAATGATTTTAAGCCCACCTGTTCCTTTTGATACGGACACATGGTTCCATTTCCCTGTGTTTCCAGAGAGCTATTTTTAAAAGATCAGTGCATTTACATGTCACTCCTTGCAGAGGAAACAAAAGTACCTCTCATCAGACCTTATTCAGGATGTTTGCTAGCATAAGATGCAGAATAATTTCTTTAGCTGTGTTTACATATTTATAACTACCCCAGTGGAATATTACATAAGCAGATAAGCAGAGTACTTGCTGCTGTTTTTTGTTTATGCTAACTATATATCTGTCAAGCTGTGTCACTGAAGTCCATTCTGCTTTACACTGTTTATTCTTGATCTGTGTGGGGTCACATCCTCATCTGCAGTAACATGACATTCCAACCTCTTGCTAGTCTTGTGTTTGAAGAACTTTTTAACTGTCCACCTTGGTTTTGTTTTTATGAGGTGAAATTTACTTTGCATGTTCATCTGACCTGAACCTACTAGATCAATAGTTGGGAAAGCATTCTTGTCCAAGTTACCTAGAATATACCTCCAAATTTGTGAAACATTAGTTTGCTATGTTCATGTCAAACGCGTGTCCTGAGTTCTCTGGGAGCTTTAGGGAGGTTTATACTTCTCTAGTGATTTCTCTAGTAGAGAGCAAACTTCCTCAAGGTATGGGTTTGCCTCATACACATGGAATACGGGGAAGTACTAAAGATGATAAATATATTATGACAGAGAAGTACATGATGGATTTTATTGCAGTGATGCGTATCATCGCTGATAGTGTTCAGTTCATGTGATTTCACCTTTAATGAGGACTTAGAGATCTTCCTCATTCCAGCTCGTATTCTTAACTTTTTCTCCAGACCCTGCAGTAATATGTGTATTACATACATATTAATGCATTCATATATATATACACACATATATATATGCAGAAAGCAAATATGGTTTTTCAGAAGAAAAAAGCTAGTCACATGCATGTGCATTTTTCTTCTCACACATAGGTTTGTTAAAATGCAGGATACTGATCTTTGCTTCCTATATGATATGCAGGCTGTTGTATTCAAGGTAGAAAGCAGTATTGATCATTGAAGCAGCTCACTAATTGCTAAGTATTTTAAATAGAAGAGCAGGGTACATCATCTTACATTAGAGGCTAGAAAGCTACAAACTGCCTTGTATTGGAGTGTAAGTGGTTGCTTTTTCCAGCCTCCCTTGAAGAAAGTAGAGAAAGTAGCTGAATCTGAGCTTTCTCAAATTTCAGCATAACTGCTATATATATATAGAAGCATGTTTATATCTGTATACACTAGACAACCAGTGCCTTTCTTTTCCAGAAGTCTTTCTCCCATTGGGACTCTTTGGAAGGAAGTGAGGGTTTTTCCATGTTCTTGGCAGAGTAGTATAGGGATTCCTATATTTAATAAACTTGGTGAACGATGCACCTTTGTCACTAAAATTAATACTTCCTTTACACAGGGACATCTGTGTTTCACGCAGCTCACTGTTCTTCATGTGAAATGAATTATTTTCAGCTGTCATCCTTAAGGATATAATGTTCCTTCCAAGTCCATTCCCACGTGAAGAACTCCCTGCATGTTCATATATGCAAACACTGAGCAAGTCTTGTGGAATTAGTCATGTAAACAGGAACTACAGTGGTACTGGCTGAATAAACAGTACACTCCCACGTTTTTCAATGTGTGTCACTACAGCCCGTCCTGTGGCAAAGCCAGTAACTCAGACTGTCGGAATCTGGCAAGTACTATTTTGATTTAACTCTAGACATAATGATGGGTCATTAAAGAAAAAAAAAGAAAGTTATGTTTTCCATGTCATAATGCTTTAGAATTTAAGATACTTTATGGCACCAGTTCATGTTCTGATTTAGAAAAGTGTTCTTGTGTGCACTGTGGAATACCCTACAGCATCAAGGAATTGAAGATTAGGCATTGCAAAGTATTGATTACTTTTATAGATGCCATGATGTCTAAAGTGTCAGTGATGAGAGTGGCTGGATATTCTAGTAAAATTCTGGAATAACAGTGGGCAGCTTTGGAGTTGCTCTCAATTTGTACAGCTATTGCAGAACAGTTTTACTTTGTTATCTGAGACTTAGAGGGGAAAAAAGCTTTTGTTGTCAGAAAATTCATTGGAATTAGTGGTGAGTCTGGAACCTCTGCATTGCCAAGGACAAGGAGCAGAGCAAAAGCATGTTTTTTGATATGCTGGCAGCACCCAAAGCTTTTTGTGAATGGATAATGTACAATATACATTGGAAATTACTATTTTTAATCCAGTGTAATTGTAAATGAAATGGATGCATTTTTCTACCTTGAAAAAGTAATAGAGCTTCTTCCTGTAGCTATAAGAGCAGACTGTAAAGCGGATGCTTTTCTCTCAGGGATGCCTAGATCCTATCCAAAAGAAGTTATTCCATATGGATGAGTAGGATGTAGTCTTCTGTTTCTGCCTTTCAAGAGCATAAAAGCCCAGTCCTGCCTTCAGGAATTGTTGGTGAAGTAGGAATGAGCCTTTTTCAATTTTTAGGGCTGTAGGATGAAAGAATAAATAGAAACTACATGTTGCTAACTCTTGAAAGACCTCAAAAGGATGGTTTTCCTGCTTGCTGGAAGCACTGTCCATGCTTCTGTAGGTGGTTTGGATTTTGTATAACACTGTATCTTGCATGACTTCTCTGCTAATGTAATGTAGTGGTGCACACTGGTCACCAATGTACTGTTTTCCTGTTCTGTAGCCTTGTTTACGCTCTGCAGACTTCTAGGTGGGCACCAGCTGGAAAAGGACCTAGGGCCTTTCCAAATTATGCATTTCTGTCCCCCACACACGTGGACAGAGGTGGAATTTGTGTGTATGTGCTTCTAGTCCCATCCTGCCCATGCAAGAAATAAATTTGAACAGTAGCATTTCACTGTGATTCAAAAATAAAATGTGCTGTTAGTCTCCTTGACAAAGAAGGTGCTCCCTTTACTTAAGGAGGAGGATAAATTGATTTGTAGGTCCAGTTACTGCTCTAACTTTGTTGTACAGAGCTTATAAATCACTGTAGAGATAGAATGCTTCACTGCAAGGGACTGTAGCCTGACTTTACAACTATGTAGAAAATTATCATCTCGATTTAGTTAGTCTGAGATTATTTAACGCAGAATACTGTAGATAAACTTACACAATTCTCCCTATTTTTCTCCTTAACCCAAACTTCTAGCTTTTTAATGTAGATAAACACATATCTAGAGAGTGCAAACTGCAGCTTTTTTGATTTTATCAATCTGCAGAATTTTGGATCCCCCAGAAATCTTTGTCTCTTTTGGCTGATGAAAAATGGTTTTATGGTTGACAGTGTCTTGGCCTAGGAACTGGCAGTTGTGAGGGTTTCTGATAAGAGCAGATGCTTTTTGGTGAGGATCTTGCATTCTGCACAGTATGCCCTGTCAGAAGTGAGTCGTCAGAGTACCTCTAGAGCTGCTCATATGGAGTCTCGTCTTAGTAAATAATACTAGGATACTGTGTGCATTATAATGGATTTATGATCATGTCCTGAAGGACTTTAAAAAAAAAAACAAAACAACAGAGGATGTCTGCTGATGGGGAAGCTGCACAGTTGTATTTTGCTTTTTCCCTGTAGCAACAGAAGCCACTGAGTTTCCTGGGCTTTCCAAGGTCATGATCTGTACTGCAGCTGACTGTTGATCTCGCTAAAAGAAAATTAATTGAATAATCATCATAATCTTATCTCTTGTTTCTGCTGCTCAGAGGCAAGCCAGTCCCCTCTTTCTTTCTTTCTTTCTGTCTCTGTCCCTGCCTTGGCTCACAGTGCTGAGCCTCTGGCTAGGCTTCAGCTTCATAGCTGATGACTTTGCTTTTGAGCTAGTCAAGTTCGATCGCTTTCTCCTTCATAATTTGCCTTCCAATTTTCCCTTCCCAGTAGGAGTGCCTTACAGTACTGTATATTAGTTTCTATCTTCCTGTTTTGGATTTCCTGATTGAATCTGCTTGTTTGATTAACTTGTAGGCTTAAACTGGAACTCTCCTGTGGCTGCACATGCTCTTTTGCTGGGGCAGCTGAATAAATCAATTTGCTTGTTCTGTCCTCATGAAGTATGCTCTGCAGGCTGTATATACCAGCTCTGAAGATACCAAGCTGCATGGAAATGCCTCACTTTTGCTTAATCTGGTGCCTTAAATTTCCAACAATGAAGAATTTTGTCAGGAATGCTCTGCCATGATGGAGCATGTTTGGTGTTAGAGCTCTAAACCCTTGCTCATGGCAATTTCCATCTTGCTAGGAGTGGTTAGCATAAAATTTGTTTACTATCTGTGCTTTGAGAGGGAAATGTGAGAAAAGATAGCATTGGGGGGCTGGGGAGAGGGCATTGTTTTTATTACCTTCATTTTGGAGACTAGCTGGGCTTTTTTTCATATACAAATGAGGTTGTGCTAATGTGAGAACATCAGTGCTGTGGATATATAATAATAATGGCATTAAGGCAGGATCAGGTAACATGCAACTTTGCTCCTCCCGGAACCACTGGCTGGCCTGTGCCATGTGATGAGAGGGTTCCACGTGGTAAAGCTGGGTTTGTGGCAGTGAGGGCATTTACTCAAACTTTAGTTTTAATTCAGTCGTCTTTCGTGAAAGCTAAGCCTCTGGGGTTTTTTGTCAGCATTACCTTAGGGAGAGAGTTAACCTGCTTAAATATGAGCATTATTTGTTAAAGTCTACAGCGAACCTCATCCTGTGTGTGTTCATCTTGGGCACATGTCTGTACTAACTGGGATCTTTTAAGGCCACTTTTGACCCCAAGTAGCAGAATCCCCATTTGGCAGTGGCACTGTTTTCCCTGCACTTTAATAGTGTAGTGAACAGACAGCCTGGATGATAGATAGTGTGCAAAGTCCTTCTTTACTTGAAAACCCTGGTGTGCAAACACTGGCTTGGGTCATATCTTAATATGCAGGTTTCTTCCTGGACACTGAGGTGGCCATTAAGTCAGCTCAGAATGCCATTTGTGGGCAGCATTGGAGAACTTTGGGCCTGGAAGGCTATTAACTGACCAGGACCAACGTCTGTTAGGTCTCATCCACATACACAGCTGTAATTGGCTCAGTAATTTTTGTCTTATTTTTGTCTAATATGTGTGTTGAAGCAATGTAAGTCATTGAATGCATAGCACTGTACTGGTGGAGAAAGGATTTATTTCAGTTTTGCTTATGCACTTGATCTTGCTCCAACTAAAGTGTTTTCAGACTGATTTTGAGTGGCACTGATACCTCTGATGCTAGGTAGGCTTATACCAGGCCCTTCTGTACTTGAGCCAAGCAAAAGTAAGAATTAATGAGCAAAATGCACATTTGAAGAGGTAAAGGCAGTTTCCAGATAAGTACCAGTCGAGTTGAAGCAGTTTGAGGCCGAGGGAAGCCAGGCATGATAGGCAGAGCTCAGGGTTTGGTACTGGCTCCTTTGGCTTGGCCTTACTTCCCACCAGCGCTCCTGCTCACCTGCAGCACCGTAAGTTGTTTGAAAACAATTATATGTGTGTGCTACTTCATCTGTTAATTTATTGGCAACATTGTTGTGTGTGTTTCATTGGTCTTTTGTTTATTTTGTGGTTTTTTTGTTGTTGTTGTTTGGGTGTTGTTTTACTTTTGACAAGGATTTTGTTTAAATTATCTGCAAATACTAGGCAATGGTCTTAATTTATTATTGATGTGTAATAATGTAATTTAACTTCGGTGAGTTGAATTGCTTGTTGATACTTGAGCAGGGTTTATTTGGATTCACTTGTGACAGCATCAGAGCATCAGTCCCTTCTGTATAAAGGCATCTCTCAATAAACACTACAAAAATTACTCCTCTCCTTTTTAATCTGCCTTCTGCTGGGTACTGCACCGTGTGCAGGATAAGAGTTCTAGATTCCTTATACTTAGTTCTTGGTAAAAGTCTTCAAAATCTAAGTAAATTATGATATTTTTATTGGGTGTGAGGCAGAAGATCTCTGGAAATGTTATCAATGACTGCATCAGGTTTGGTGTGTTTGAATTTACATTTCAGTCTCTTAAGTGTGTTTGAAAGCCCCAAATGCCCAGATTTTTAAAGGTGCTGAGCTCCAGCATCTTCCAGGAAAACGTATTGGGAGTTGTTGTTGGGCACTTCTGGGTAAGCATCCCATTGGAGCCATGGGGAGGCTGCTCTCCGCTACATGGCTGCCATGTGGACCTCTTCCTGCAAAATCCAGGTTAAAAAGCCTTAGACCGTAAGTAAGAGAGGTGCTTCCAAGCTTGCTGTTGGGCCCACTGAAAGGCTGGGAGAACAGGATGTTGCCTATGGTGTAAGCAGTTTCCTGCTTAGACAGCTCTCCATCTGATGGATGGAGGAGTAGGTGTAATTGCAATTCTTGGTGGCTGCTTCTCCCATTGCACCTAGTTAAAAGCTTCAGCAACTTTCCAGGGCTGTGGATTTGGTGTTGAGTTGTGGTAGAACTCACAGATCTAAGTACCTTGTGTGAGGGCCCCCAGAGAAATCTGCACCCAGTCCTGTGCTCTCCTGTCTTTCAAAGAGAAGGACACATCCCCTCCCTCACTGCCCTCCTGCCACTCCTCAGAAGGACCAGAAGTCCACCAGGAATGTCAATCCTTTCTCCTGCAGGCACCTTTGGACTACATCTCTGTGATGAATTAACTACAGGCAACAGGTTAATGTTTGACCAGGACAACACACAGGAAAACCATGTGCAAGACCTTCTCTTCCTCCTTATTTGCTTTACAAGGTGAGCAAATCCTATTATTACACATTTTTCAGCTTTCACTGCCACTTTGCCTCCCCGCCTCACTGTAAGAAATGCTAGAAAGGAAGCATCAACACGAAGCTGTGATTATGGAGTCTTAAGAGCCATGGGAGGAGTAATTTGGTTGTTTCTTTCAGATTTTTTTCTTGGAGATGGGTGGGGGAGAATGGTGTTGGTGGTTCCCTTCATGGCTTTTCTCCGCTTTGCCTCTTCTGTCCCCTGTTTTGCTCTGCTTCAGTGTATGAACCCATCCACTGAAATGAGTTACTGGAAGGACATACCCCAGTAACTGTCACAGACAACTTGGGACTGTAGTTTCAAGCACTGTTGCTCTTGGTTTTCATCAGGAGCTAAAGTGCTGGGATTTTTCTCCCTTTTGTATGCTGTCATTACATGAGAGTTCTGCCCTACAGTGAAGTGCAGCTCTGCCAACAAAACCTTACATTGGCAGCCCTATTCTTAACCCCTGCACATGCGTCCCACAAAAGCCATAGGTTTTGAGTAGTTCAGTTAACCTTCTATTAGTCTTTTGTATGAATTTATCAACTCAGCAGGCCACAAAAAATACCAGTCAGACTGTGAATTGGAGCATGCCCTAGAGGTCCTGTGGAAAATAGAAGCAAAATTAGCATTTGCTTCTGATGCTGAGCAGTGTGGGGACAAACTGACACTCACAGAGTGTCCAACCATCTTGTTCCTGATTGACACCCTTCATGCTGGTGAGATGGTGTCGTAGGGTGATCACATCAACTTAGATGTTTGGGGATGTTATATCATGGACAAATGTCATAACCCCTTAGATCCAACAGCCTTTTGGATTTTGTTGTTTCATGTTCTCTTTGCACTTCAAATGCTTTGCAATGGGTTGAGCCATGAATATTGGTCATCTCATATGGCCCAGTCCTATGCATGATTTTATAGTTCATATCATCTGAACGTGCCAAACCAAACTCTTCTCTGAAAGGTCAGGACAATTCTGTTTTAAAAAGTTACATTTCTAGCTCTTAGGCAAAAATTAACAATATTTGATTCTTTGTAGGAAGCTGATTTTCTGAAAGGTGGCAGAATTAGAATATAGCTCTTCTTTGAAGAAATTAAAGACATTTAATAAGTCTTGAGAGTGTCTGAATTAAAATAGTACAAGCCCCTTGTTCAGAACTGTGCTTCAAGCTTAAGGAAACACCTTATTTTTTCATTCAGATTTTTAAGCTTCTGTCATGCGTATGATACAATCATAATGACAACAATAGATTAACCTCAAAGGATCTAGCTCCCTCCTTTCCTCAGAGACAGAGAAGGCCCTTCCAGGTTTGAGGGCTAATGTAACTTTTCAGTGAAAGGACATGTTGAGGACAAATGAAAATATTCTAGGAGTGTTTGTACATAGCTTTGGACTGTCTTTTTGAAATAGTTCTTGTTTAACTAAATACTCTCTGAACTAGTGGTTCCATCTAGAGGTCTGAGTTACCACTCTGAGAAGGTGGTGAAAAGCATCTCAGATAATCAGATGTCACAAGTAAAACCAGACAAATTCTCTAAGGCAAGGAGTAAATTTCAGCCATTGTAAGCATAGACAAATATAAACTTTGTCATTGTGGCTGCAAACATGCTAAACATCTGTTAATGTTTATAGTTTATAAACTCTCTGTTTTCTATATTGAGCCTGAGACATTAGCCTCAGATATTAAAAATGAAGTTATGAGGCTCATCTGGAAAGCAAGAGAAGTCAGATAATAGTTTGTGTTAAGGACTGAACTTTAGACTGACTTGAAAGTTCCCAGATCTTTATCGTATAAATATACAATATGATGTGCTTACAGGTGAATAGGAAGGAATTGCTAATAATGCTAAACATTGTTTAAATGTAAGAAAGTGCAAGTTACTGAGTGCGTAAGAAAGTAATAGATATAATCAGTGTGCATGGAACAGTTCAGTCTAAATTGTTTTCATAGCATGAAAAGTTATAAATTAATCTCATCTGTGACATACCTGAAGTATAGTGATGAAAGCTTGAAATGTAATCAGTGTCTCTTCACTGAATTGTGCCTTGCACTGTTAAGTAATCCTGATTTCTGTGAGCCAAGGACAGTCCTGTGGGAGCAAGGTTAGGGTAGAGGAACTGAGAACCCACCACCATTCTGTCATCAGACATTGGCAATTGCTTGCAACCCAATTGCTTGGGTGGATGTTGTTTGTTGTGTGCTTATTGCAAAATGTCCTGTTCTGGCTTGGACTCTGCACTTTTGAAGAATGTTCATCTGTGATTTAACAGATGGCATGATCGGTCCTTTAAGCATATACAAGTTCCTCTGTCTTCGATGAAAGCTACAGTTTTGAAAGAACTAGACCTGAGTTTTCAGTGTTTAGAGATGAGAGCTGTAGCAGGTTTATAAAATTGGTGGATTACTTGTAAAATCTGCAGGACTGCATGTTGTGTTCAGCACAGAGTTAACCCTGGGTGATAGCAAGAAAAGAAGAGTGAAATTACAATAAAAGTATGGGTCTCTACTGCAGATATTTACACAGTATTGACATTGTTAGGTGTGCTTAGAAATTTATGTCAAGTGTTACTGCACTGTCATAAAACAATAAAGTACTTCTGTGAAGGGCTTAGGGCAAAGGGAAGGCAAAGACGTCTCTATATAAGGCCCTCCTCCAGCTCCAGTGGTGCTGTGAGAATGTTTCCATAGCTGTCGACAGGAGCTGTATGGAGGCCTGCTAGGGGAAAGAGCAGAAGTGGCACGTTTGCTATGTTCCGAGCAGGTAACCAATGGCTTTGTTTCAGGGAGAATATTTTACCACCCCCTGGTTTTAGGAACCTAATGAATCTGCCCTCCAGCCAGTGGAGATGAGGGTTTCTGCTGCAAGCAAGCTTGTGTCTGAGTTGAAATACCCTTTTGGGTTTCATAGAAATGCTAACAAGGCCCATAAAAGCTAACATTAAGAAAAATACAGTGCTTAAGTGTGGCTATGAAGCTAAAAAGAATGGGAGCCCAGAGTCCTAGGATTTCTGCATTGCACATCCTGAACTCAGCATACTTTAAGCTCTAGGGTGTCACAGCTCTGCTTCTCACCCTAGGCTCATGGTAGGCATCCTCTTAACATTTTTGCTGCAGGACCAGACTTTACAGCTGAACTCAGTGTTTACATGCAGTGGAAGCTGAAATGCCAGTCCCAATCAGTCAGAGTGCTGAGGAGTTTGGATCTAGGCACAGTGCTTTGCCTGTTCATGGATCTGCAGCTTCACTTTGTAGCCCCTACCCATCTCCACCCTTCTGGAGTTGTGGCAACATTTATTCTCCAAGCCATGGTCGTACATGGGATCTGTTAGCCTTGCTGCAGGAAAGTACTACTGCAGAGAAATATTGCTCTTCCACTAGATGTGGTTCTCCGGTTAGATCCTACTACATGGTAATGCATTTTGCTTTTATCTTCCAAATGAAGATCATTCTTTTCCACCAGATCATTTAGCAAAAGTATTTCCTTCATAGCAGTCTCACAGCTGTCTGCTGAGGGTTGGGAGACTCTGTTTCCTGACCCTGCTCTGGATAATGCTTCTCCAAAACGAGCCAGCCGTAAGAATAAAAACACTTCTGTTGAGAAGGGAGTTTTTGGAGGCCTTTGTAAACTTTAGTGGTGATGCTGGCCCAGCTTGCCTTGCTTTCTCTGCTGGAAACCAAAGTGCTCCTCTGTTTTCTGGGAGGGCTGGTACGGACTGTTTGCAAAACATGAGTTGGCAGGTGTTGAGCCCTTCAAGATCTGACCCTATGTTTCTAAACTGGCTGAGCTAATTTTCTGCCTGTGCAACTATATGAGCCTTGCTCTCTGTGGCCATACTTTTCATATCCTATGTCAGCAGTGTTGTCCATCCCATTTCCTGACTCAGACCATACCTTTACAGCTAGAGACTGAGGCTGAAATCTGTCTCTCACATCAGCTGTATCAGCTTCTGAACTGTGGAGCTGGCTCTATACACCAGCATGCTCCAGCTGAATCTGTCTTTAAGACTGGGAGGAGCTGGTCCCTCCTCTGAGTCCTGGCAGGTGCCCAGTTCTGTGCCACCTGGTGCCCCGTGCAGTCCTCAGATCTCAGCTCCATTGGTGCTGACGGATGTGATCCGGGCGCACTCCCCTCTTCTCAACAGTACCACAGGCTCTGCACCTCAGGTCCTCCCCGCTGCCTGGCAGGGACCTGTAGCACGCCCTGACCTTGCATCACACCAGCCTCGTGCAGCAGCGAGGGCTTTGAAGCTCCGTTTTTTCAGGAGAGAGCACTCTCTTGCACGTGTGCCCAACATGGAGTGCTGCGGCAACAGCACCCCCGGCTTTGTGTGTGATTCTTTCCCATGAATATCTCAGCGTTGTCCGCAGCACGTGAACTCAACGGCCACGGGATGGTGAGAAAGCCTCGGAGACTGAGGAGACCCGTTTAGTTCGTACGGATCTTTCTCCGCATAGCCACCCATTACAGTTGTTAGCTTTGCTGTTCTCTATAGGAATTTCGGGGGATCTGGGGTCTGGTAGAGGCATGCGTGCGGGAGAGCCGGGAGCAGAGCGCGTCTTGCTCCTAACACTGCTTCTCTTCTTTCTATTGACCCAGCTTGCTGATTGGAAAAGACCCGTGTCCCCCCGGCCCCCTCTTCCTCCCCAGCCGCACGATTGTCACCGCCAATTAGTGCATTGTTAGGGAACACAATGGCGCCGTGGCCACTGGAATGGGCCGCTTTTGTGTGTCTCCAGTCGGCCGTAGGGGCAGTCAAGATTCATTTAGGGCCTTACACAACGTGGACAGAAAATACTATCAGAAAAGCAAAAGGGGGAAAGAAAAAGGGAGAGAGAGGTAGCAAGAGGAGAAGGGGGGGTAGCCTGCTATTCAGAGGTTAGCCCAGCTGCATGAAAGCCCAAGAAGCAGTGCCACATTGAAGACGCCCCTTGGAACACAAAAAGGAACAGGGCTTAATAGTAATTAGTGGGCAAACCGCAAGAGCGCCGTGGCTCTCCAGCGAATTGCTGGCTGCCACCGCTTCCCCTTCCCCCTTCCCTCCGGATCCGGCCGGGCCGGGAGCAGCGCAGGGATGGGAACTGGCGGTCGTCCCCTGCCCACCGTGCTCTGTGGAGGCCCCATCCAGCAGCTCTTTGTGGTTAGTTATTTGGACGGCAATCTCCAAAGCTCAGCCGAATGCAGGAGGTGTTTTGCAGGATGTAAGGGTATGGTTTCATACCATATTGGTGCTTTGCCTATTTCAAGGACCTTTAAAAGCAGCCCTGTTCCTTTTTGCAGCCTGACACAGTGCACCTTGCGGCTGGGCTGCATTTGTCCACAGCCTGGCCGTCTTCCTCCAGCAGAACCTCAGAAATCACCATTGTTCTTCTTGCCTGTGTCCATTATTTCCCATGATCATCCTTACGTTTTTGGTGGTATATTTAGGCAAAGCATATCTGTAAGCTCAGCAGCTATGTGGAATTTGCTCAGACCAAGTGCTAAACCTTGCTCTTGCTTCCCCACAAAAACCTGCATAGTGCAGATGACACCTGCATCCACCCCTTTCCGCTCATTTCTTTTTCAGGTCTTAAACACCCCAAGGTTTGCTCTGGTATTTTTGGTATTTCTTCGAGCATATTTTGACCTAGCATGGCTTGGGCTTGTCTTGGGTGTCTGCATTAGCGCATAGTTGAATACATTTAATCTCTACTTCTGTAAGATTGTTGCTCTTGCAGCTTGCTGCTGTTACCATTGTCAGCTGATACCCTGAATGCTAGGTTTAGTCAAGAGCTGATGAGCCAAACAATTAGCTGTGTCTCAGGAACATGCCAAGGTAATAGGTTCATAAAGCATGTTTTACCTCACATAAATATGCTTATGTATTAAAGAATTTGGGGCATCCTAGCTTAAGTGAAAAGTACACAGAGACACAAATTCAAGAATGGTACTTTTTATGTTTTTAGAGGTTCTAAAGAAAATCCATGGAACTAAACTGCAGGACACAGTGCAGGTTGTTCTCAGATATAATGGGTGCGTATCTTGGTTTTCTTTGGATATAGGAAAACATAACTGTTCTCTTTTGGATTCATCTCTGTTTAAATTGACCAAGACACTAACCAACCAAATTTAGTAGTGTCTGCTGGGAATTTTCCCAAACTGGATTGTATAAAGCTGATACTCATGCACTTATACACAATTCTGGACCGCAGCCTCCCTTCACATTGAGGCTGAAAAAAACTCCTCATTTCCACCGTTAGCTGCAGCTACAACACTGCTCTAAGATACCCAAGCAAGCCTGGGAAATGCAGTTGCTGCTCCAGTACTGGTCATTTTTTTAATGTGAGCTGGAAGCCACAGCTACTCTGTACATCTATACAAAATCAGTTTGATTCTATCAGAACAGTGCAAATGGGATTCACAACCAAGACTTTTGGTCCATCCAGAATCCCATCACAGGTTTCTCACAGAGCCAAGGGGAGCACAGCAGGCATCAAGAACTCAGCTGACGTGGCTGGGATGGCTCCTGCAATGCAAACATGATCGGAAAGCTCTCAGTGTACATGTCTCACAGATAGGGCTGATTGAAGACACTGTCTCGCAATACAGAACATGTCTGTCTCACACCAGCCACGACACATCCTCACTCTGCTAATTAGCAACATCTCTGCCAGAGTCTCAGCTGAAAGGATTAAAATCTTCTCACCTTATTCTGCTCCTTCCTCATCCAAGGTGAGATGTTTAGTCCTGGAGGGATATAGCTGTGCTGGCTCAGGTAAGGAGGCAACCTTGTTCCTCCGTGACTACACTTCTTCCAGAGGGGAATTTTATCTTTAGGGCAGTCAATCTGCCCTGACTGAAGAGACACTCAGCCTTGGATCCTTGCAGGACAGCATTGGAGGTGATCGATCTAACCTGCTCTAGGGGAATGGAAACAGAGTGCTGTCTGCAGCAGGAGCTGGTCTTTCTCTAGCTCAGGACCAGAGGATTGATTTCCCAGATCAGTGTGGTAAATCACATTTTTCTGTCTGTAAAAGCAGGATAATTATTTGTCCTTTCTCCCATTTATTGTTCCTTGGTTGCTTAGCCCGAATGTTGTTAATACTGCCCAGTATCTTGAGCAGCTGGCACAGTGAGAGGCAAATAATGAAGCTGTGTAGTGGAAGCTTGCACAGTAACTTTTCCAAGTGCACCCAGAGGGGTCCTGCCTGTTTTATGGCAATGTAACTGCTGGGGCCTGGCAGGCATGGGAAAGAGCTCCGCAGCTGCCTGCCCCACGTAGTGCACAATTAATTTCACCAATCTAGGGAAAATACAACAGAGTGAATTCTGCTGCAGACAGGTAGACTTCTCTGAGCAAAAAGCTGAATCAAGCTACTCCACTGTTTATAATGGCATAAAGAATGTGTCCCATCTTTGCAGATGTTGTGCTACTCTTTTTGTCAGCCTGCTGCGTATAGAAAATCTGTTTGATTGCATCAGTTCAGTAAAAAAAAAAAAAAGGCCTTGTAAGAGAAAAAGGCCTAATGACACAACTTGGTCATTAGAGATTTTTTGAAACCCTTTGCCAGCACTTGTGGAAAGATTGAATATATTTAGAGCACATTTTTGTGTCACCAGGACATAGCCCAGGCAAGGTAGCATCACCATGTGCTTGACAGTAATGCACATTGCAGTGTGGTATAGGATTTAGAGAACAAATGCCATGTTTTTTTATCCCTGCAAATCTCTTGATGTGCTCCAATTCTGTAACACTAGTCCCTGGTAAAGCTACTGCTTTTTAAGATCAGGATCCATAGATTTTTTGCATTTCTTAATTCTTCACATCTAACTAATATGCAGGTCAAATATGTTTTGACTTGTGATCTTGTATTAAATCATCCTATGAATAACTTGCAAAAGAAGGTAATCAAAATGCGTATAGTTCCAACCAGTGCTAACTGCCTTCTCATTCAATTTCATGTATCTTTTTACTTGTGTCCAGTAAATGTTGATTATGCAGCGAATTAAATCTGTTTCTCATCATAATTTGGTGCATTCACTGGGAGTGACATGACTCACTAAGCCCTAGCTCCAGATATTTCTCCAGTCTGTGTCAAGCACTTCAAGGATGTCAGAAGCACATACTGGGAGTCCAGAGGGCCTGATCTTAGCAAGAATGCCTCAAGGTCAGAGAGAAGACGTGGTTTCTTAGTACCTTTCTAGGGTACTATAGATCATTGGGTCAATATGGCACATCATGGAGGTGCTCAGACTCCAGAGTACAGGTATGAAGCAGTTTCTGTAAATAAAGACCCCTTACAGTTGCCTCAGAAAGGTCCAGAGTTAGTGCACCTGATGATCACTAGATCATCAGTGCATCCTATGATCACCAGAAAATGGTGATCCCAGCACTTGGAGAGGCTAATGAAAAAGAGCAGTTAGAGATGTTTTCAGATTGTGTGGTACTTTGTATTCATAAGAAAGGCCAGGCTGAATTCCTTCTTAACAGCAACACTTTCCACCTATTGATAAATTTTCAAGGCCAAGAGAGACCACTGGTATCGGCTTTATTCTTACAGATAGTAGCTTCTCTGTGAGGAACTGGTTCAGCACAGACTGAAAGTTTACTGGCAAAATTTCTGTCTCTACAAGCCACTGGGGCCGGAGGCAGCTGACCATGCTCTGCTGCCTTCTGGCTGAAGCCTGCCTGCTTTCCAGCAAGCTCTTGGTGTGCCAGCATTTTTGTGTCCCTGCTCTAGGACAGAGGAGGGGACTTCTAGACCTTTTCCATGTTGGAACAGGAAGCTTCTTTGCTGTTCCTGATGCTGCAGCATTTTTCAGAAGTACAATCAGCTTGCCCTATTTGGCACAAACTGGTATGTTTTGCATTGTTTTTTAATGCTGGGATTTTCCACAAAACAGCTTCAGTGAAGGCTGCTTGAGCATTTGTTCCAGAGAATTCTCACCTTGACTTGCATTCTAGCCCTAATGTGTTCGTAAGGTTTTCAGCCTCACCTTGCTGCTATAGCCTTGTCCATCTCTGCTGGATTAGGGAGCTACTTAGGACCTTTGTCCCCAGGATAAAGTACTGCAACTGTAGCTGATTTTATTTGATTTTGGATGTAGAGCAAACAAATAGAAATAGGTTTCCAAAGGTTATGGCCTGAGGCAGGGCACAGAAGGCATTATGTCAAACCTGAACTGCTCCAAGCAGTTTCACCCCATAGGCATCTCACAGGAAAGGAGAGGGCAGAGAAAGGAGAGGCAGAGGCCTGTTTAAAGATGACATAGATCAAAACAGGACTAATCTGAAGATAAAGCAAGCAATAATTAGTGTATGTTATTGTTATTTAACAGAGGCGTTTAATGGCTCCCAGGTATTAGCTGGGGTTTTGTTTTGTTTTACTTCTGTAGAAGTCAGAAGCTGACTCTAGACTGAAAGCAGGCAGTGAATCCTCGCTGCCAGGAGCCTAGCCAGGGAGCAGATCCTCAGGTCTGAGCCGGCACTGGTAGTTCTGCACTCTGGCTGCAGTGATGTGGTTGTGGTGGTGCAGGTTAGCTGTGCCATGGTGAAAACCATGGCTTCATGGCTGTTCTGATCACCATTCAGCTGAGACTGGGCAGAGCTCTGGTAGTTTGCAGGAAATGCACAGCTCTCTACTAGGAAACAGCCTGAGCTGCTCAGACCGCCAGAGGGGCCAGCGCTGGCCCCTTGGTCAAGAAAAAATCTCAGATTTCATGCTTCAGGGTTGTTCATTTGGCAGCTTTCCTGAGCGCTGGATTCATTTATAGCTGTAAGTATACAAATGGATGTGCACTACAATCGCCCTGCTTGGAAATCCCAGCAGAGCAAAGTATTTACCTCTGAAAAATGTTTGGAGTAACTCCTTTGCAATATATAGAGCAGTGAGCATTTCAGAAACAGTCTATGTATTTAAACAGTCATTACTGCCTTCTGGGTAAATAACACATGTTTTTAAAATGGTCTCTATACACAATAGGCACTAACACAATAAATCCTAATTGCTCTGAAGGACCCATTAGGCTCTATCAGGTCAAGAAATGGTGGAGGTTTTTTGAAAGTCACTCACCATGTTGTTACATAAGCCACAATTTGAAAGTCCATAAATAAGTATTTGCCCAATGAAGAGTGAGGGCCTTGCCAGGGCCATACTAATTTATCATGTCAACTTCACTATGGGGACTGTTTTCTTTTCAAAGGCCAGTGTTAAAAAAGAGGGGGGGAGGGGTTGGAGTACTGTGCAGTGTGTTTCAAAACGTACATATCTGAGAAGATTCAGGCTGTAATGTGCCCACCAGGAGAAGCAAATGTAATGTTCCCTGCGTCCTCCTTAGCTCGGTGCTGTGTGAATCATGGTGAGATTCAGAGAGCTGTGAAGCTGCAGGTCTGGGGCTTTTCCTCCTCCTACTGCTCCCTAGGGCTGTGGCCCCGAGGCCCCTCTGCCTGATGTGGGCTGCAGAGCAGCCCCTCAGTGCAGTTGCACCCCCAGTCCCTGTGGGGACAGACAGAGGCCAGTTGTGTACATTGTATGTGCCATGATATGCACAGATAAGTCATAATGGAATTGTTGAGGTAAAGAATTGATAGATCTAGCAAGATGAGCTTTAAGTGCAGCCACTCCTCCTGACTTTGCTTTAGCTTTCCACATGTAAAGTTTTGGTTGCATTTTGCAAAGTGTAGCACTCAGGTCAGCTGTTGGTGCCACCTGTGTCACTGTTAGAAACCACGTTTTGTGTTAATTCACTTGGAATGTGTCTATTCCATGGAGCTTTTTGAATATGACTCTGAGTTGGCAGGGTTTTGTTTCCCACACTATTTTGAGATGTGTAATTGTCCAGGTATCTGTGTAAACAAACAGCAGTGATGAAAGTTTGGGTTTTCCAGGGAATTTCAGTAAGGCATGCATGGTGAAAGTGTTGAAGTGATTTAAATCCAAATTCCTGTCTGCAGCCCAAAGCTTGTAAATCATTTTGCTCATGAGAAAATGCTGGCCTGCTGCTGCTGCACTTTGTGGGACTGGGTGCCAGAGTCCTGCCATGCTGGCAGCAGCTCGCAGCCTGCTGCCCCTGCTGTCCCTCTACCTGCTGGCCCCTAGTGTGCAGGGACTTTGTGTCTCATTTCGCACCCCCACTGGCTCTGGCAGTGAGGGGAGGTCTGTGTGGGTTCCAAGGCTTGCAGCACTGGCAGCCCACGGCCTTGTGGCTCAAGTGGGAGTGCAGAAACACCACTCACTAAGCCACTGGTAGGGGGTCACTGCACGTGTGAGCACCCCCCCAAGTGGGGTACCCACAGCTGCCTGTAGGCATCGGGAGCTCTTTGCAGATGTCTGCTGAGCTCCCTCATAAGGGCAATGGAAGTGACTGGTCTTTACAAAGGGATCTCCCTTAGTCCTTTCCTCAAGTCCTTTAGAAGTGACCATGTCCCCCAGAAAAGCAGTTTGCCCAGGTAAAAATTGAAGGCTGACAACACAGAACCAAGCACAGAAACACTTAACCGCCTTCTGACTTTCTGTTCCTGCAGGAACCACTGAACCCCCCTGCTGGAAGTGCACCTATGGGGAAAGGTACACGTGAGTGGCCTTGCCCCTGCCCCTCTCCTTGGGGCTGCAGCCCAGTTCCCAGGCACAGCTGTCGGCGTGGGACAGCTTGAGGAACCACCTCTGCATGGGGGTTGAAGGTAACACAATTTCTTAATAATGTGTAGAATTTATTAATGATGGTGGAAAGGTCTCAAGTGCGAGGAATGCTTTCTTGTTTGTCAGGATTCAGCGTGGTAGGTTTGAGGCACGGGGTGTTGCTAACGGCGCTGTGTATGCATGCAGTGATGTGCTCGTGCTGTGCGGTAGGGATGGGTAGCAGCTTACCGACTGCACTCGCTCTTACACCATTTTTAATCCTGCTCTGGTTGCTCTGCTGCATATTCATAACAACAAAAAGGAAACAGAAACACAGATGTCTACCTGGCTCTTAATTGGGTTTCATGTATCCCCAGTGTAGCAAATGCAGTGTTATTTATAGCCAGGCCCTAAGAATTAGGTGCATCTGGAGCAGTGGCAGAACCCACGCCAGGCTGCAGGCTGATGGATGGGTGGAGCGAAGCGCTGCCTCGCTCTGCCCTTCCTGTGCCCCCCTGCCTACCTGTCCCCACTGTGTGTCAGACCAAACTGATACTGCCAGAGGGAATGCTTACAGAATTGAAATATATGGGAAAAAAGGAGAATTTCTGCTCTAATGCAGCCGCATCAGCATTTTCTAATTGCACAGTGATGATAACAAAAAGCTGCCCTCTACTCTCACTGTAATTGGGGTAATCAGCTGAGGGCCATAATGAAACTGTGATTTGCCTTCTGCTGGGCTGTGACTTCACAGAAACGCAGTCGGGCAGAATTAAAAGTTATGGCTCCTGCTGCAGGGCTGTGCTGCTGCACACCAGCGCCCTGTGCCCGTACTGCAGGCAGCCGAGTGCTGTGGGGACCAGAGCGCTTTCGGCCTTTTTTAAGTTGTTCGGCAGCGGAGGTGGTGGCGCCGAGCAGAGCTGCACCCCGGTTCTTGTCTGTTGGCCTTCGGCTGCTGCCGCGGGGTTGGGATGACCCGGAGGGGGTACGGAAGGAAGGCGGCCGTGACGCGCAGGGGTGCCGGCAGCGGGGATCTGTGCGCTCCGAGGGAGTCGCTATGGACGGACAAGAGGCAGCGCGCTATCTGAGAGCTTCGGGAAGCTCCGGGCCTGCTCCGCGAACAGCGCCGCGTGCTCGCGGGGCGCTACCCGCCGCGGAGGCGGAGGCGGTGCCGAGCCGGGGGCGGGCGGAGCCGACGTTGGGGGCGGGGCTGTAGGCGGTCCGGGGGCGCGGTCCGGCGCGGCGCGGAGCCGGGGCGCCCGCCCGCCCCAGAGCGCAGGTGGCGGCGGCGGCGGCGGCACGGCCGGTCCCGGCGGGGCTCCCTCCCGGCCCCGCTCCCGGCGCGGCGGCGACAGGGCGGGGGCAGGCGCCCGGGGCATGCGGCGGCGGTAGGACGGACGGCGGCAATGGGCGGCCGGGGACTGCCGGTCCCGCTGCTGCTGGGGCTGCCGCTGCTGCTGGGGCTGCCGGCGGCGGGGCGCGCCGCCTCCAAGGCGCCGGTGTGCCAGGAGATCACGGTGCCGATGTGCAAGGGCATCGGCTACAACCTCACCTACATGCCCAACCAGTTCAACCACGACACGCAGGACGAGGCCGGGCTGGAGGTGCACCAGTTCTGGCCGCTGGTGGAGATCCAGTGCTCCCCGGACCTGCGCTTCTTCCTCTGCAGCATGTACACCCCCATCTGCCTGCCCGACTACACCAAGCCGCTGCCCCCCTGCCGCTCTGTCTGCGAGCGGGCCAAGGCGGGCTGCTCGCCCATCATGCAGCAGTATGGCTTTGCCTGGCCAGAGAGGATGAGTTGCGACAGCCTGCCGGTGCTGGGGGACGCCGAGGAGCTCTGCATGGGCTACAACCGCACGGAGGCCACCACCCTGCCGCCTTTCTTCGGGAAGCCCACGCGCCCAGCCAAGGACACAGCCAAAAGCCAGCTGCCGAGCGGTAGGCACCCGCCGGGCACCGACTGCGGCCGGACCTGCAAGTGCAAGGCGCCACTGGTGCCCATCTCCAAGGAGTCCCATCCGCTGTATAACCGCATCCGGACTGGGCAGGTGCCCAACTGCGCCATGCCCTGCTACCAGCCCTACTTCACCCAGGACGAGAAGACCTTTGCCACTTTCTGGATCGGCCTCTGGTCCATCCTTTGTTTCCTCTCCACCTCCACCACTGTGGCTACCTTCCTCATTGACATGGAACGTTTCAAGTACCCCGAGCGCCCCATCATCTTCCTCTCTGCGTGCTACCTCTTCGTCTCTGTGGGCTACATTGTACGGCTGGTAGCGGGACATGCCAGTGTGGCTTGCGACCCTGAGCACCACCACATCCACTATGAGACCACGGGCCCCGCACTCTGCACTGTGGTTTTTCTGCTCCTCTACTTCTTTGGCATGGCCAGCTCCATCTGGTGGGTCATCCTGTCCCTCACCTGGTTCCTGGCAGCTGGCATGAAGTGGGGCAACGAGGCTATCGCAAGCTATGCGCAGTACTTCCACCTGGCTGCCTGGCTCATCCCCAGTGCCAAGTCAATTACCGTGCTGGCGCTCAGCTCCGTGGATGGGGACTCGGTAGCTGGGGTTTGCTATGTGGGCAACCAGAGCCTGGAGAATCTGCGTGGCTTTGTGCTGGCACCGCTGGTTGTGTATCTCTTCACTGGCAGTCTCTTCCTGCTGGCCGGCTTCGTCTCGCTGTTCCGCATCCGCAGCGTGATCAAGCAGGGCGGCACCAAGACTGACAAGCTGGAGAAGCTGATGATCCGCATCGGTATCTTCACCGTGCTCTACACTGTGCCTGCCACCATTGTCATTGCCTGCTACATCTATGAGCAGCACAACCGGGAGGCGTGGGAGCAGGCGCAGAACTGCTCCTGCCCAGGGGACCCCCACCGCCCCAAGCCTGACTATGCTGTATTCATGCTCAAGTACTTCATGTGCCTCGTGGTGGGCATCACTTCTGGCGTCTGGATCTGGTCTGGCAAAACTCTCGAGTCCTGGCGGCGCTTCACAGCCCGCTGCTGCCGGCCAAAGAAGCCAGCAGGTGCTGCTGCATACGGTGAGGTCAGCCCAGCACTGGTGGGCAGGACGGTGCTGCCCAGCATGGCCTCCTACCACAAGCAGGTCCCGCTGTCCCATGTGTGATCGGAAGGAGCCGTGGTGACCCCAGCATGGAGGGAGGAGAGGGTTGCAAAGACCCAATGCTGCAGCACAGGGAGCGGTGGCAGAGCCACCCTGCCACCCCAGTCCCACAGCAGAGCGGAGCAGCCCAGGATCAAGCGTAGCCCCAGTCAGGGCAAGAGAGGTGCCAGCAGCAACATGGGGACAGAGGGTCGGTGCTGGGAGCCCAGCGCTACCATGAGCTGGGACACATCATGAAGTGATGTGGGGGCTGGGTAGGTGGCAGCAGCCGCACAGCCTCTGGATGGGTTGTACTGGTACTGGGACGAGGGGGAGAGCTGCAGCAGGCATGGCTGGTGGCAGCCCTATCTCTAATGAATCCCAGCACCAGAACTGAGCTGCTTGCCAGAGCTGGGAAGCATGAGAGGAGTCGGGATAGCAGGCTGGGGACATCCCACGTATCACCAGGCAGAGAGCTGGTGGCCCTGGCACAGGCTAAGAGGCAGGGGTTGATCTGCACGGGTGCTGGCAGAACAGGAGGATGGGGCTCAACGAAGTCCTGCTGCCAGCCCACACAGAGCCCGGCACGCTGCCAAGAAGCCTGGGGCCCAGGAGCCCTGAGCCCCCAGCAAGCACTCGCCAGCTCCCTGACAGGGCTGGTGCTTTGCACTGCTAGCTCTGGCACTTTGGAAAGTGGTTGGCAATGCTCCACACCTCTGTGTCAGGCAAGTTTGTAGCATCTCCCCCGTGCTGTGCGGGCTGCCTGGGGCAAGGCAGGGGTCGTGTCATAGACCGAAATGCACTGTGTGTGTGTGTGTATCGGCAGCAGGAGATGTGTGCGTGGGGTCTGTGAGGCAGGCGGTAGCTGCGTGTGCTGGGAAGCAGTGGGGTCAGCAGCCAGCCAGCTCCAGCCCTCCTTGCTGCTTTTTTGGAAGCTGCACCTCTGTCAGACAGCACCAGGCTCAGGACTGAGCAGGTAATTCAGGAATAGTCAGCAGGGCGCTCACACTTTCTCCCGCATCGCAGCCTCTTCCCAGGGTTGGGCAGCAGCGGGGCACTGACAGAAGCAGTGCAAGGCGTTACACTCTGGGGACATCTGGACCTAGATTGGTAGCACATGGGTGCTGTGTCAGCCCCTTGAGTGGGACAAGGGAGTGGCAGCAGGGATGGGCTGCTGAGAGGCAGCTGCAGCCAGCTCCTGCCTGCTTTTGAAAGAACCCAGGTGTTTAGTCTGGTTTCCCTGCCCCAAATGGGATCACATATGTAACTTTGCAGAAATGATTACGGGAGTCCTTTTGTCCCCTTCCAACCATGGCGCCACGACCCAGCTGCGTTGCTCTTGCGGGACTGTCAGGGCCCCAGGTTGTTCAAGATGCCCTCAGAGCACTTCACTGTCAAGGAGGTTTCCAAGCCTTTTAAAACCAAAGTCTGGGAAGCAGGGGACCCTCTGGTGGCACAGCTGCTGATACAGATGGTGCCAGGACGTGGCGTGTGTGCAGAGCGGTGCAGGGCCAGAGTGCTCCGTGGGACCCTCTCACAGCTGCAGGGCACTGTTGCGACAGAGGTTGGCTCGCTTTGGTGTGTTGCAGTACTTCACCTTGGGCAGCATTGCACCATGTTCTGTTACAAACTGTAAATAGCTGTATATAGTTGTTTTGTACTTTCAGGAGCTGGGGTGAACTTTGATACAGGTTTGGGGCAGGTGTGTGCTCAGTGTGGGGCAGGTCAGGCGCGGCACTGTGGGCATATGTGTGTTGTAATCCTGGGCATTAAATAGCTCCAACCTGATCCAATCCACGCCTTGCTGGACTTGTCTCTTTCTATAGTGCCTTCTGTAGATACAGCTAAGCACACCATGCAATACAATGAACAAAACCATGGCAAAGGTGGTGTTTTTCTGTTTGTTTGCTTCTTTTTTTTAAGTCTAACTGACTGTGTAAAACTTTTTTTTT